CGTCGCCTGCAGGATTTGTAGCTGCAGGGTGATCGAAAAGTGGCGCTCTGATGCTAACCCTCCGATGTGCTACCTTACTGATCTCACTGACAAATTATGGCAAGCTAGCTACCTCGCTAACATAAACAGATGTAATTTAAACATGATGTAAAAGTAATGATGGAGTTATTGTTGATTAACTTTACAGGAAAATGTTTCACAAACTAGCTAGCAGCTTAGCTTGAAGACAGCTAGACTCCGCACCATTGTCTCTGCTACATGTGCTGCTGAGAGTATTACAAACAATGGAGTCGAAGTGCATTCTGCTGGACAATCCACGTAATTACATTATTGTTAACTTGTCTCAAGCCTCTTTTCTGCATTTTTTTTTCTTTTTAAATGAGCTAAAGTAAATCAATATGACAAAAAGTACAACTTGGCCTTGTTTAAAGTCAAAAAATGTTCTTGAAGTAGTATTATAGACATGTAAAAATAGGATGAAACTGTTTATTATGTTCGCTGAGATAGTCTGCTTAGCCAGCACAAGTCTTGGATGTACACACTCTCCTCCGCTGTGGGCCCAAAAACTCAGAAGTGTGAGGACACCATAGAGGCTTTTTTGGCCAAAATCATAGCAAGATGCCAGCAGAACAAACATAAGAACAGTAAAGGCTAGAAAATGCCCCAAATCTCTTGGAAATCTTCTGAGGAAGAAAACACATTCAGTATATTTATTAGATCTCAATGTTCCCTCTAAATAATGCATTTTGGTGAGAAAATGAAAGAACTCAAAACTTAGGAAAAAAAGAAAATCCACCACTGACTACTTTCAAGCTAAAGCGACTATTACAGACAGACAGAGAGGCTGTTCACCCGTCATTTCTGCTGTAAAGGGAAGGTGAGTAACGTGTCAAGTTACTCTGGCAGACCCATGACAGTGTTTGATGGAGGCAATCCCCACAATAAAAGCCTCAAATTTGTCAGAATGTGGAGACAAAGTATTTTCATTCTCTGCAACTTTTGTCTAGAAACCGTAAAATTTAAGTTTGGCTCACCAAGTATTGATCGGTGAAGACAGCTGATGTCAAAATACATGAAATCCTGCAGCTTTTGAAAACTTTCTGCGTCCTCCACGGCCCATTACTTATCGTCTATTCTGTGTTTTCTTGTGATATCTGACATTGTTCTGTATCCTACAACTGGGTTTCTCTGTGCAGTGATTTCACATCTTATGAGTCATCTGGTCTCCTCTTGTTGGTACTCTGAAAAACCAAGTGGCTCGTGAACTCTCCAGCATACAAACCACTGTGGCAGGTGGACAAAATATTTCCTTTCCACTGACGCAAAGATGAGAACGGCCTGGCTTTGTGCCATCTTTCTTTTACATTCCACTGACTGGACTGGAATCCTTCTCCTCACCTGGACACCTGCACCGTTGTGACTGCTAAGACTTATAACTCCTCCTTAGCTCTCCAGAGAACACAGTGTTCCTGCGGAGTCCCAGAGGAGACCTGCAGTATTTGTAGATTGTCAGTATTTGCTTGTATGTCCTTACTCTGTGAACTCAGCCTCAGTAATAATGCACCCTTCCTGCTCTTTTAGTTTGTGTGGCCAGATAACGTAACTAGTAATTGGACAGTCCGACTCCTTTAAGGTCAAGTTTGCAATCCTGGTGAAAGACTGTTGTTATTTAGCTAGTTAGCATATTTAGCTAGTTAGCATGCACCAGATTTACCATTCCTTTTAATGTGCAGAAGTATAAACATGCAAGACACGCTAGAACATATCGTGTGGGTTGTACCATGCCAAACTCTTTGCTTCCTATTTACAGATCCAGGGTTGTGTACTTACTATAGACATGCTTGTTTAAAGATGGATGAACCATAGCTGTTAACATGTTTATTTCTGCTGTAGCGTTGGCCATTTTAACATTTGGTTCCTTGGGATTGACTCGCCTTTGGAGCCAGCCTCAAGTGGCCATTTAAGGAACTGCAATGTTGGTATGTCCATGTTGGTGTCATTTTTCAACCCTGAAGATTGCTGCTTTGGACAAACTAGTAATGTTAGTGATTAACTGTTAATCTCTTAATTGCAGTTAATAATGTAGTCCATTGCAAATATCTTACCAAATAAGGCAGAAGACAGGGGACATAAATGCCAGGAAATGTATTGCAGATTTACTGCAGTACTTGGTTTTGCCACCAGATGGAGCCTCCTACTGATGAGATGGAGTTACAGGTGTGTTTGCTGTATGCCCAAAATGCTAACTGGCTAACTGTGGCTGTCATATTGATGAACTCTCAACTCAAGTTGTGTCAAATGGTGTCTGGGACCAGTCTGGTTTAGCTAGCTACCTGAGGCTCATGCTAATGCTATACTGCCATTTTCCAACACTAACACAGGCCAGGAAGTGTCTGTCAAACTCAGAGTGGTTGTAGCTTCTAATTCTGCTAACATTTAGGAGTAACAGGACTTTATTAGATGCTTTGATTATGGTTTATTACGACTATTGGTTCAGTAAATTGTTAAGAATTTGCATCACTAATACAAACTTCGATTTTTTTCCAGCTTACAACAGCATGTGTGCTAGCTAAAATCGACCTTTAACTCTTCATTTAAGCAAAAGTCAAACGTACTTTAAACCAGATTTTAAGTTTGCCTCTTTCTTTTTTTTTTTTAACAACTTAACATTGTTAAATTAATTAATTCGTCATTTTTGTGCTAATTAGCAATTAGCATGCTAGCATGCTAAACTTTAGGTATTTAGCACTGCTTTCTGAGCATGAAGACTAGCTTGAGGTATAGCAGTGGTTTGACAGTAGTTTACTTAACTGTAGGATCAATAAAGGATTAACTAAAAAGTTATGGCAAAATTAAGTCAGGTTCTGACATGTTTGGTTTATGTAGCAGTTTATATTAGCGTGTTTTTTCTTTTTTGTTTCTTCCATAAAGGTTTTTGAAACCTCAGGCTGACTTGTGACTGTTTCAGCCACCAGCAGTAACAAGTCGCCATTGTTCTTTTATTTGCCAAAGTCACAGCTGGCAAGCACATAACTCGCGCTAAGCTAGTTTTTACTTGTTTATCTTCACATTAATTCCCTTTATTCATCAACCCAAACAGTCACTGCACGCACAAAGATCCAGAGGAGGAGTTGAGTTTAACTGGCATGTGAGTGAGTAATTTGGAGGCTCTTTCAAGTCCCCTCGACTAAAATCAGAGGTTAAATAGGAGCATTCCTCACATAGCTCCATAACCATAACGTGGAGATTAATGTGTTTGTCTAAAGGTTGCGAGGGGATAGTTGCTCCGAGTATCGCAGCAACCAATCTGACCAAAAAGCTGCAGTCTCCTCATCTCACAGAACTCAATGCCAGCGTTGGGAACATTTCACCGGAGCCAAAAATAGATGCTGCGCTGCCGGCCCATACTTTTCGTCAGCCTTTACTCCCAGACTTTTTTTGCTTGATCTGGTTCGTGCCTCATTTGGCCGATAGGGCCCCATTGTTTTGGTGCTTTTAACTCCAGACTTCGTGAGAAGATAGAGGCATTATAAGGTGGTGTAATCCCAGTGACTGTCAGGATAATATCAACTTGGATTTTAAGGCTTTTCAGGAGGCTGGCACTTAGACACTGGGTTCTGTGCCAGGGTCTGGCAGTCTCGACAGGTAGTAATTTGACTGGTAAATGTGTCATTATAGCCATTGTAGAAGGTGGGGGCAGACAGGGAAAGAGAAAGAGGGGGAGGAGAGAAGAAAAAACAGAGACAGAGTAAGAAGGGAGGGCGGGATAGATGGATGGAGATAAACGGTGGAAAAAATGGACAGATGCAGTGAAGGAAGAAGACGGTGGACAGGCACGGGCAGGCTGAACTTGTAAAAAGTCTAAAAATGTCACAAAGTTGTGACGCCAGGTTGCACAACTTTTTGGAATGCTATCTTTCTCTTCTTCTGCCTGCGTTAGCTTTTGGAAAGCGTGGGTGGTCCCTCCAGTGATGTACACAACTTCCACGTCTTAGCGAGCGCCCATTCTGCTCGTGTTTAACACCGTGTTCCCCCATGCAGCGGCAAGACAATAGTCTCTCCCCTTTCATACATCATAAATCAGCTCACAATCTAAGGTTTATTATTCATGTAAATCTCTAAAAGATGTATTCCACTCGGTGAAACAGAGCAGGATTTTTAATTTACCTCGTGATCATTTTCCGAGAGTAAATGACATGTTTTTAAAAAGGATCTATGGCTCATTTTTGTGCAAATCTAAACACCAAATGAAAACACGGTCCTCTCAGCTGAATAAATCGTGCATTATTTGCAACAATAACTCCAAAATTTACATGCCGCCATGCTTGCGTTACTAATAACTTTGTCTCCCTTGGCGTCGCTGGTTCTAGGAAGTATGTGATTAGACTGGTGATGTTTGGAGGCCTCGTCGGTTTTAGTTATTGCTCTCATTTCGTCTTAATTACAGTTGTATGAATAGCCCCACATCCAAGTGCCATTTCCCTCCCCGCCGTTTCACAAATGACACCGAACGTGCATCTAAACATAGACGCTGGATCCTTGCGGTATTCAGGGTATCTTGTCCGAGTCGCAGAGCGCTTTCACGGCGTAATAGCCGAGTGTTTACTGAGGGGGTGGAGGAGGAGGAGACTGGGTGAGAAGATGCAGGAGGGCGGGTGAGAGTTACCAGGATCCCTCGGAGTCACGGCTTCTTTGACAAAGTCTGCACTTAAACGCTTTTGCCTACATGCTTGCGCGCACGTCTACCTGTGTGCAGATGTGTCGGGCTGCAGATGAAAGAAAAAAGCAGGCAGGCAAGCATGCTCACAACATGCAGGAAGCCCAGCTCAAAGTTGAGCCCTGTCGGTAAACAACACAGGAAAACGTAGCAGCAGAGATAGGGAGAGAGAGAGGGAGGGAAGGAGGGCGAAGGGGGTGAGACTAAGAGGAGGAGGGAGAAAAAAAAGGAAGGAGGTCACTGAGGGATGGAGGGAGGGACGAGTAGCAGGGAGGGGAAAGAAGCAAGCATTTGCCTTTTCTGTCAGCTGAGGCCGGACTGTGGGAGAGCGTTACTACAAGTTGTTGCATTGTGGCTTTTGCAGGAAGACGTGATTGTGAGAAGCTGGTATGGTGTGAAGGAAAACACACTGTTAGAAGGCTGATTCAAGGTATGACAGGCAATCCTTTGTTTCTCCATTGTGCAATTTTTTTAAGCATCTCGTCGCTTTTCTGCTCAGAGCTGCTCAGTTAGCATGTGTTCACTGTGCGTACAGTAGATTTTTGCAGGGATCGTAGCGGTATGATGGGAGGCTCAGCGGCTCCTGGGTGGTCTCAGGCCTCATAGCGCAGCCAGTCACGTTCCCTGGTGGGGTGTTTTTAGTGAGAGTCGCTCTTAACTGATGGAGTTAACATCCTGTCTTGACTTTCCCTCCTCTCTCGTTCTATCTTTTTGTCTTCATCTCCAATTTTCCAACAAAAATTGCTGCCATGTTGTCACCTAACTGAGGCTTCTATAACCAGAGATGTGACCACACAGTTCTGCTCATTATTGCATATAGAAAAATATATCGCTTCTTGTCACATTTTTACTCAATGTGGGCTCGTTTTTTACCTCTATGGGTACAGAATGACTAGAAGTAGAGAGAACTGAAACATGTCCTGCGTGCAGTGTAACACAATTACAAAAAAATGTGGCTCTACATACTATCGTTATTTTACAACTTTTTAAACTTTGAGTACATTTCTAATTTGTTTCTATACTTTCTCTGAGTTCACACAGCCTGCAGTTCAGCCTAGTTCAGCCAGATAGTCGCTGGCCTGCACGTTACCAATCCTAGAAGAAAATGTGACTCTACATACTATAGTTATTTTACTGCTTACATTTTGAATTATTACTTACTTGTCTCCTACATTGCCTGCAGTTCAGCTGAAAAGTCCACGAGTAGACTTTATGTATAAGCCTGCCATTAGCCTTTTCCTGTCCTTTCACTATCTACAGCCCCGTTTTCACTTTTTCTCAACAACAGCAACAATTTCCAGGAAGCAACCTAACACATGAAAGCTTCACGTTTTGCTAAAAGTTTGGGTCATGCATTTACGCAAAAGTTTTTTGTTTGTTTGCTTTTTGGTGAATTAGCAATTTTAATGACAATGCTCACCTCCCTGTGTGCAACTGAAACAACTCCACAGTCTCTATTTCGAGTGCTTGTTATCATAGATGTGTATAATAAAGGCTGGATGTCTTGTCCGCGCTGACGGCCAATGGAATCGCACGGCCACACTGTCGGCCATCTTGGTACGGTGCACTCGCTCACCCATAACATTGTGTTGTAGTGGTGCATGTACTTTTTAAATAACCACAACTTGCTCAATTTTCTACCGATTTTCAAACGGTTTGGTTTATTATAAACATCAGAGGTGTAGTTATAACACTGCACTGAAGGATAATTATGTTACACTCTCACGGCCAGCAACAATTTGTATTTTTATTATTTTGTAGTTTTTGGAATTTGAATTGTAGCCACGTTAATAATATTTGTAAGAAACCAAACCGTTTGTAAATCCGTCAAGATTTCAGCGAGATCAGAGTATTTAGATTTGTGACGATCACTCACCTTCCTTCACGTACCACAGGTTCCCCCAGAGAGCTGCCCCAAATCAAGATGGCCGAAGGGTGATCCTGTTTGAAACGCCGCCTTAAGACATCTAGCCTTTATTATACATATCTATGATTATTATTGCTACATCCTGTTCTTGACCCCGCCCAAGAAGATTGTGATTAGTTTAAAATCCAAAAGATTTATAGCACAATGACAGTTGTAGTGCAGTCAGACCGTTCTACACAGTACCGTGTCAGCGCTAGAGAATAGTCTGTGTTACATCACAATAACAGTCAGTTTATTAGAGATTAAATATGACAGCAAATGCAGCCACTCAACTCTACTTTGCAGGAATTTCTAATAATGAAATGCTGACGAAAACGTGGCAAGAATGACTGTTTATTACAGTGAGTTTGCTGTGACCATTTCACAAGTAAAAATCCATGTATTGTCAGAAATGTGCCTTTAATGTGAAACAGCAGTCGTAGGCTGTTCCATTTTCATTCACAGTAACTGAACACAGACGGCTCTGATGTGGTGTGAAAGTTGTGAACTGTAAACAGTGAGGCTGTTGTTGGTGAAATAAGATTACAACTGATGACGCTGGTTTGATAACACTGTATGTAAAGGTAATCTGAATCCGCCACTAACAATACAACAGTAGCTGAGAGTTCATTCAGGTGTGTCAATACATTAAAGGGCCACGGCCCAGAAAACATACTCCACAGAAAGGCTTGATGTAATGAAAACATTACGGCCTTAAATACACTCATTTGATAATCAGAGATCAGAAAATGGAAGCTTTGTTGGGCTACTGCAGCAGTAGCTCTGCTCTCTGAGGACACTTAAATGAATGGATTTCCTTCCTGCTGTCTTCTTGAGTAAATTAAACATGTCTGTGTTTGATGATGTCACCCCGCAGGGCACAACCATGGAGGAAATTGACTTTGAGCGGCGCCGGGAGCTGAGGAGGCAGAAGCGGGAGGAGATGCGTCTGGAGGCCGAACGGTGAGGCTCGTTTGCTTGTCTTTGATTCACGCTCGCAGATTAGCACTCCAGGATTTTCCAACTAATTCTCTTGTAAAGCAGAAAGCGTTCAAAGAGTCGGTCCTCGGCAGTGGCTTAAACAACACCTGCAGTCCAGAGGGGGAAGCCGCTGCTGTCGTTTGAGATTTTTTACCAACTCAGGCTGCTGGAAGTGTACAGCTTGTGTTGTGTAATGAAGCTCAGCTTGTCAATGCACAGCGAACCTCCTCTGATGCTCACGCCAAGTTGGACGAGGAAGGAGCCGGGAGCTTTTTTTTTAAAAACACCACTCAGCGAATATTGGCTTCTTCAAACCAGGCAGGAAGAAAAGGAGGCTGATAAGAAATCTGATAAGCAATGTGATGACCTTTAATGTTCAGTCGTGCCCTCCCTCCCTCCCTCTTTCCAATTTTCTCTACAGATACTGTGTCCTTGTGAACCCTCTTTGATTCAATGGAAGAAACTGATTAAACTAAAGTTCGTTTCAGCAAATTGATTGAGTGGTAACCCGCCAGTCATCAAAAATAGTATCAAAAAAAAAGAAAAAAGAGGGGGATTTTATTGTGAGAACTTGATACATGGTGTACCAGGTCAGTACTTGATCGAGCGTTTTCACAAAAAGTCCCTCCATCTGTGCTGCAGCCTTTTGCAATTAAAGGATGAGGTTGATGCGGATGCAGATAGTGGCCAAGGTCATCTGCCTCGGAGAAGCCTTTTATTACAGCCAGTTGCTCCATCACTCATGGAAAACAAGCTGGCATAGGTCTGACCACTGCCGCATACGTACATGTTTTGCTCTGATAATTCATTTTTTTATGACACAAAGGATGTGTGAGGAGCATCTACCTCTGGGATGAACAAGGCCGTTCGCTGGTGATAAAATAGCATTTCTTGTATACAGCGAAACGTCCACAATAGCGGAGATGCGCTCGGTAATAAAACTCAGGGTTAAGCTATCCATCCAGACGTAGAGAACAGAGCGCCCACCAGCCTGCATGTGTTGTATAGATGGTTTATTTCCACACTGGTGTTCAATGCAAGCTTACAGAACCTATGACATGAGTAGCTGAGAAATGTAATCAATAGAGCACCACTGATGCTTCTACATGTCTGATGTTATCACTCAGTAGCTCATCACAGATCACCTATGATACCAGCATATATAAAAGTCGATAAATGACAACAAACTGCAGTACAGAAATTCTAAATCCATGCTTGTGGTGGGTAAAAAAAGAGTTTTTTAACCCTCTGAATCCCATTTTTTGAGCATTTTGTGCTGTGGAGGCTCATCTTTCACTGTAATATAAAGTTCTGTGCCTCAATAGAAACAACAGAAGTCATAAAATGTTCTTTCTGCAGCATCACAGTGCCCTAAAGGATCAAAATAGAAAAACACAAGTTGAATTTCTTTGATTATTCGTTTTACAGAAATTGAAGAAAACCTTTAAAAACCAACCAAATCAAACTTGTACAACAATTTTCTAAGGTGTTACCAATAGTTTAGAAATGGTGGCTCCACATGCTTTAGATATTTTACTACTTTGTTGACTTTACTACATTTTTCATTTGTTTCTGTACTCTGCTCTGAGTAAACAAAGCCTGAAGCTCAGCCTCGTTCACGGCTTTTGGGCACAGCTGTGCTTCCAAAAAAGAAAAAAATGAATTTGAATATCTTTTAGTGTTCATCCTGACAAAAATAGAAAAAGCATGTTATTCATATTGTACTACTTAGATTTTTTTTAACCTCTAAAAAGTAGACAATGAATTTGCTTCCATGTTTGTCCCCTATCTATCTACTCTGCTTCAACAATGCCTGCAGTTCAGTCGAAAGGTTCCTGAATTTTTATCTGGTCACTGCTGGTCACAGCCGAGTCACCAATAACTGTCTGGTTGAACTGAGGAGTGCAGAATTTTTTGTTTTTTACAGAATCTGGCTCGTGTACACAATTTATTTTTTACAGAATTTTTAAACGAGACATGTAGAATGATGAAATATCAGGATTTTAAGCTGAAATTTGGTTGATTTTACAGACGATACCAAAAATAATTTGAACATCTGGTGGTTTTTCTTGTTCTTGCAGTTTCTGGTTTTGATAATTGGTGTTGTTTGGGCCATTTTTATGAAAGATAGCATGCCTTTTAAACTTTTTCTGGGGTTCAGAGGGTTAAACTCCTTATTTTGCTTTACTTTGATAGTAAATTTTGGACATATGATAAATGAAATATGATGCATTTAATTTATTACTACACTAGCTTAGCTTCGACTTCTCCGACTGCGGCCTTTAAAATGTACCAATGCTAGCCCCTAACATGCTTAAACATGTTTAACAGTTATGCAATGTTTATTTTCTTGGCATCTTTGATTTTTTTTTTTACCTCTTCTAGACTTTTATGCCTCACTTCCCCACATGCACTCTGAAGGTTAATGCCTCTGTTAGGTTTCACAGCATAAACCTCCCGCTGCTCGAATTATTTATGCATATTTTGGAGTGTTTATGTTTCACGGACAAGATGGAATTTGGCAGAAATCGTAGACTAAGGAAGTGGCGACGGGGAGGAGATGAGGACTGACTGAAAGAGAAATGGAGCAAGAGCGAAACAGAGTTGTAAGCGCCTCAGACATTTACATTTTCGGCTCGGCGGGGAGTTTGTTCGCGACTGTTTATTTGGTCCGAGCTGCAATAATTTCAGCTGGCAGGCGACACGCCGCTCCTGTTATTGATAAAAGATTACATCTCTACATTGTTTGCATTTCTGCCAATATATTGAAACAATCAATATTTACATGCCCCTCTTGGTCGGACTAGTCAAAACCACATGTTGCCTCATTGGCCCGCTTCCATTCAACCATCACCGAGCGTGCTGGGAGAAGACGGAGAGCGCAGGGGGAATGTGGGGCCGTATAATAACGGCTGTAGGAATGCCAAATTCCTGGCTATTATAAGTGTTTACTGGCCATGTCTCCATGAGCTGTTTCCTACACGCTGGGACACTGCGATTGTCTGTGCAAGAGAGTGTGTGTCCTCCGGTTTGTGCAATAGTGCTTCTGCATTGTGTTCGCTGCAGTGTGTGTGTGTGGATCAGCATCAGGTGATGAAGTCTTGACAAGGTCCATTCACTTTTTTTTTTGAGCTACAACCTAGTATACGACGGTGTGTGTGTGTGTGTGTGTGTGTGTTGTGGGAGGACAGCCAAGCCTTCCCTGTTCTGTCTTACATCAGCCTCGGTTATAGTTGTAAGAAAATTATTGTTGACATAGAGGCGCGCAGCGGGCTTCTATTCACTTCTACTTTTATTCCGTGAAGCCACACACATAATTCTCCGCTCTAGGGTTTCTCACACTCTCTCGTGCTCTTCAATTCCCCGATCCATGCTGCTCATCAGCGTTGTAGCATGTTTCCTTTCACTGGAGCACACAGGAATGTCTCTGCATTTTTTTCTTCTTCTTCTTCTTCTGCTTCTTTTTTTTTCCTTTTTTCATCGTATCTGAAGAGAGCGCACGGATGTGGAATGTTCCCAGTCAATTCAGTGACCAAATGGTATCTCGCTTCAGCTAAAAATGGTCTTCTTTTGTAAGAGCTGTCACTTCCTGCCAAATGAAGCTGAGCAGCGTATTGTCCTGGGTTTGGCTTTAACAATATTTGCTCACACACACAGTGGCTGTACTGCAGATAGGTGATAGTCTGCGTGACCGCGATCACAGTTTTAACTCTCTAAACGCCAGCAGTTACTGGGCATTTTCTGCTTTTGTCACATTTTGTCTAACTGTGGGCTCATTTTTCACTGCAGTATAAAGTCCGTCTCTTGGGCAGGATGACTTCATTCCCATAAATCATTATTTTTAAAAAAAGAAGAAGTACATTTCCCTGATTACTCATGCTGTAGATATTTAACTATTTACATTTTGATGGTGTTCCCATATTGGTCTCCTGTATGCTCTGTGTAAGCACAACCTGCAGTTCAGCCCAGTTCAACAGAAAAGTTTCAGGGTTTTGTTTTTTACAAAATCTATAAAGAGCAAACAGTTTACTTTTAGTGATTTTTTAAATTACACATGTAGTACAAAGGGATTTTGACAAAATATCTAAATTTTAAGCTCAGATTTGGAGTTTTCATCACTAAAATAGTTCAAATACTGTCAAAACATTAAAAATCCACTCTTGTTTAACAGTTTCATGCTCAGGTAAATGGAGTAATTTGGGAAGTGTTGGTAATAGTTGCAACTTTAGAATAACGTCCCAATAACATATATAAACTATTAGCTGATACTTAACAAGTCACTAGTAAGTAATTCACTAATGGCTTGTTCATGATCTATGACTGGTTTATAAGGTATGGCTGTAAATCATTAATATACAGTTAGCAAGTCATTTATAACTCATTAACTAACAGTTTGTAAATGGTTTATTAACTATCTATAAGGCATTGTTATAAATCATCAACAAGCTATTAACAAACACTTAACAAGTGGTTAATAACTCACTAATTAACAGTTTACAAATGATCTATTAACTAGTTATAACGGATAGTTATTATAAAGTGTTACCGAAGTGTTTAACAAGAACGTCTTTTTAAACTGGTTCCGATGTTTAAACGATGGTAAATATAAAAACAGGAAAGAAGAATGACTAATGTTTATGCATTGTGCCTAACTTATGTGGTTTCCGCTCCATAAATGAACCCATTTCCATCATAACCTGATACAAATAAACACTAGTTTGTGCATAAAAATGTACCAGAATGGAAACGAAGTGTTCGATGGTCAAATGAGTTGCTTGTGTATGTGTCTCAGCGTTCTCTGTTCACAGAAGAATCTGTTCAATATCCTTATTTTCCACATTCGGAGCAATCTGTGCTTATCTTATCTTAAAATTTTCCTTGGAGAGGACATCCAGTCCCTCAGATGTTCAAACGAAATTTATGTCTGCGCATAACCTCCGGTAAAACCTCAGCTCTTTGGTTTTTTGGACCGAAGTTAGTCA